GGCTAGAGGCGTCGGGCCAGCCTAGGGGCGACGGGCCGGGGCGACAGGCCTAGGGGCGACGGGGCCTAGGGGCGTCGGGCGACGGGCCGGGACTAGGGGCGACGGGCGACAGGCCGGGGCGTAGGGGCGTCGGTCGCAGGTCTAGGGGCGTCAGGTGACGGGCCGGGGTGCCTGGCCTAGGGGCGACAGGCCGGGCTAGGGGCGACGGGCCTACGGGCCGGGCTAGGGGCGACGGGCCAGCCTAGGGGCGATGGGCCTAGGGGCGACGGGCCGGGGCGACAGGCCTAGGGGCGACGGGCCGGGGCGACGGACCTAGGGGCGACGGGCCGGGCTAGGGGCGACGGGCCTAGGGGCGACGGGCCGGGCTAGGGGCGACGGGCCTACGGGCCGGGCTAGGGGCGACGGGCCTAGGGGCGATGGGCCTGTCAAAATGTTGTATAGCTTATATTGTGTAGGCTATAGTGGGGTAGCCCATAAGGGGTACAACCCAATTAGGGTTAGTACTTGTACCCAACTTTTGCTCAATGCATTCATTCTCGTTCATTACTTTCAACATGGTTTCAGAGCAGGTCCCTCGCTAGGACCGCCTTTCTTTCCTTGGGCCCACCACCTGCTGCCTTGCGAGTAGCCCCTTGGCCCGTCGTGCCCCTTAGGCCCGTCACGCCCCTCAGGCCCGTCGCGCCCCTTAGGCCTGTCGCGCCCCTTAGGCCCGTCGCGCCCCTTAGGCCCCGGCCCCTTGGCCCGTCGCGCCCCTTAGGCCCCGGCCCCTTGGCCCGTTGTGCCCTTTAGGCCCGTCGCGCCCCTTAGGCCCCGGCCCCTTGGCCCGTCGTGCCCCTTAGGCCCGTCGCGCCCCTTAGGCCCCGGCCCCTACGCCCGTCGCGCCCCTTCGGCCCCGGCCCCTTGGCCCATCGTGCCCCTTAGGCCCGTCGCGCCCCTTAGGCCCGTCGAGCCCCTTCGGCCCCGGCCCCTTGGCCGGTCGCGCCCCTTAGGCCCCGGCCCCTTGGCCCGTCGCGCCCCTTAGACCCGTCACGCCCCCAGGCCCCTAGACCCACGCCCCGTGACCCGCGACCCAGGCCCCTCGGCCCCTAGGCACCCACGGCCCCCCAGGCCCCTCGGCCCCTAGCCTCGGCCCCTCGGCCCCCACTCTTCGTGTTTGGCCCCTTGGCCCCTAGGCCCCTCGGCCCCTTTTGCTACTAGTGATACTGCTCCTGCTGCTACTGCGGCTACTACTATTGCTGCTACTGCTGCTCCTGCTACTACTGCGGCTACTACTGCTGCTGCTACTGCTGCTCCTGCATACTGTGCCACTATGGCCTCGCTTCGAGTTCTCGCATTCGATCATGAGGGTAGACCGGTTCAGTTTGACACGTGGCTCGACGACCTGCAGCTGTACCTACTTAGCGATATTAAGGAAGGTGTTTCCCTGTTTGACCACGTGTCCGGTGCCGCTACTGCCCCTCCCACCACAGCTGACAGTGCGACTCGCTCACAGTGGCTTTCTCGCGACGCTGCTGCACGCTTAGCCATTCGCAACCACCTGCCGTTAGCCGAATGCGCTCACTTCGGACAGCACAAGACCGCACAGGCACTGTACGACGCTGTAGTCGCTCGCTACTCCTCCCCTGCCACTGCTGCTCTAGGCCACCTGCTTCCGCCCTACCTGTTCTCCGAGCTGTCCGCATTTGCCACAGTCGAGGACCTGGTTTCCCACCTTCGCACTAGCAACGCTCGCTACCGCGCTGCCATCCCTGCTGAGTTCCTTGACAAGAACCAGCCCCCGATGTTCATCACCCTCTACTTCATAGTCACTCGCCTCCCTGACTCTCTTCGCACTGTCAGGTACCACTTCCTTTCTCTTGACCCCACCTCTCTCACTGTTGACCTCCTCGACCAGCATCTCCTAACAGCTGAGACTAGTGCAGTTGCTGTAGGTGCTGCTCGTGGCAATCCGCGCCCGCCCTTCTTTGAGGGGTGCTCCCCCTCCCCCCTTGCCACCTCCTACGCCTCTGCTGCTGCTGCAAACATCTCTGTTGCTGAGGACGTCGGGGCTGCTTCTGCTAGTGTGAAGCGCCACAGCGGCAAGGGCAAGGGTGGCAAGGGTGGTGGAGGTGGCAGCGGCGGTGGTGGAGGAGGCAGCGGGAGTAGTGGTGGGGGCAGCAGTGAAGGTGGTGGCGGCGGTGGGACTGGTGGAGGGAGTGGGGGCTCTGGTGGCGGCGGTGGAGGCAGCGGTGGGAGTGGTGGCAATGGCGGCAGTGGGACCGGTGGCGGTGGGACTGGAGCTCGACGTGTTGGTTCTAGAGGTGGCCTGCGTCAGCAGCAGCAGGGTCGGAGCGAGACCCAGTTGCCCCAGCAGCTTCGTGAGTGGTTTTTGCATGGGGCGTCTGGGGGTAGTCACCCGTATGTCATTCGCACGGGTGACCGGTCAGACGTGCGGGCGGCTTCACACTCAGCACCGCTGCTTCTCCCGCCTTGACGACGCTTGGCGTGCTGAGTTTGGTGACGACGTCAAGCTCCCTCGCTGGGCGGATCTGCTTAGGTCTAGGATTGCTATCTTTGACCTAGACTTTGATGCTATTCTCTCTGCTATGTATGCTTTGTCTGTTAGTGCTGAGGGTGACAGATACCGGTGTGTGCCGTCTGATACAGGTATAGCTGCGCCTGCTTAGGCCTTGCACACCTTCACGCTGGAATCAGGCGCCTCTACTTGTTTCTTTCGTGACAGCACCACTCTCACTCCTCTCTCTACACCTGTCCCGGTCCGACTGGCTGACCCCTCTGGGAGACCGGTCGTGGCCCGTTCCTCCACTCTCCTCCCGTGTCCGGCGGTTCCATCCGGCTCACTGTCCGGTCTTCACCTCCCCTCGTTCTCTGCGAACTGGGTGAGTACCGCTGCCCTCCAGGATGTGATGGTCACTACCACCACTCCTGGGGGTCAGCGTGTGACGATCTGCACGTGCACACGGACGGGGCGTCACCTGGCCACGTTCACTCGTCGGCCAAGGTCGAGTCTGTACACACTGGCTACCGAGCCTCCTCAGGTAGCTGCGTCTGCTCAGGTGTCCGCGTCAGGTCAGGTAGCCGACCCCCTGTCGCTGACTGAAGCCTCTATCAAAGTAACGTGCCTTGAATGCAGGCGGAGAACCCGGCGGCCGCTTCACCCTGAAGATCCACATGCCATCGACTATGTTCGCCCGAGACGGGGGAACTACATCGACGTTGGTGCCTGTGGACTTCCAGGATGCCATCTTGGCATCCATGGCTGCCTGCCACTGAGAGGAGTAAGGACTCGTAATCGCCTCTGCGTAAGAGCGCGGGGTCGGGATGTCTGGTGCATCCGGGTCTCCCTCAGGGGCAAGCAGCATGGAAGCAAAACGAGGTACGGCAGCTGCAAGACACTCAAAGTCCTCCTGCGTATCCTCAAGGACGTCCGTGCCAAGAGCACACTCACCCCCGACGGACGGAGGACTGGCAGACGCCGACTCAGCACCAAGAGCAGTAGCGTAGTCTAGGCGGCAGGCAGTAGCAAAGTCAAGCAGCTCAGCAACAAGAGCAGACGCAGCAGCAGACTCAAACGAAGGGTCTGTGACAGCAGTGGCCAGGAGACGAGAGACAGTGGGACTGGCAGCACGAGCGCGATCAGACGCAGGGTCAGGGACCTGAGGAAGAGAGGACTCAGGAGGAGCAGGCAGAGGAACACGCAAAGGAACAGAGGAAGGACGAAGGGTCATAGCGTGCGTGCCGGGGACAGGAGGAGGACGCGAACGAGAAACCCGACGAGCTGTGCGAAAAGGCGAGACAGGACGAGACGCAGGCTCACGACGCTCTGTAAGACTGACGGATTGCTCAGTGTAACGAGAAGGAGCAGGCAGTGGAGAGGCCGGCTGTAACGGCGGCTGCGACTGGTCAAGCGGGGGACACAAGAGGGGAGGAGTACTGGCAGCAGAAGGCGGGGTACCAAGAACCTGCTGGAGCAGGGGAACGAAGTACGATCGCGGCCGCACAGCGCCACCAGGGTCAACACCTCCAGCTCCTCCAGCTCCAGCACCTCCAACACCAGGGCCTCCAACTCCAGCGCCTCCTGCGCCAGGGCCTCCAACTCCAGCTCCTACAGCTCCAGCGCCACCAGCGCCAGTAGCACCAGACTCCGTAAGGTCTCCGGCTCCAGCAACCTCAACACCACCAGTCCCGGCAGCTCCAGTACCCCGGGTACGAGCACCTCCAGGACCAGAGGTCGCAGTACCTCCAGTAACACCAGCTCCAGTAGCGCCAGCGCCTCCAGCTCCAGAAGCTCCACTCCGAAGGCGCGTACGCTGAACAAATCACTCACGCAGCTGCTGCGGAGACAGTCTCAGCGAAGCACCAGCACAACCTCCAGACAAAGCAGCACCCTGGGGCTCCGCACCTCCAGACTCCGCACCCTCCGACGCAGCACCCCCAGGCTCACCACACCCAGTTGCAACACCCCCAGGCTCAGCAATCCCAGTCTCAGCACCCTCGGATTCCGCACCCCCAGGCTCCGCACCCCCAGACGCAACACCCCCAGACCCAGCACCTCGAGCAGCACCTGAGCCAACAGCTACCTGAACAGGCGCAGGACCAGGGAGAGGGTCTACCTGAGGCACACCTGAGGGAGCAGGACCCTGGGGCGGGAGGGGGTCTACCGGAGGGGGACCGGGAGCAAGGAAGAGCGGCGGCGGCGGGGGAGGAGCAGAGCAGTAGGGGAGGAGACGGTAAAAGGGAACCGATTCGTCAAACGTGACATCCTGAGAAGGGATGACACGGCGCGAGGTGGGGTGGTAAAACTGCCAGCCACGCGTGTCAGGGACAAAGCCAAGGAAAACGCTGGGGATAGCACGGGGGGAGTGTTTGTCCGCGAACGTATCGCGAACAAAGGCACGAGATCCTCAGACCCAAAACACCGACGCATCGCCAACCTCCCCCGTCCAACGCAGCGTGTGCGAGGTCTCCGGCAAGGAGACACGGGGCCAGAGGTTGAGCTGATGCGCAGCGTACCGGACCGCAAACGGCCACAGAAAATGGGGAGCAGCCGCATGGATCATGGAGGTACGAGCGACCTCCATGACTAATCCAATGCGGCGCTCAGCAATCCCATTTTGCTGAGGGGAGTCCGGAAGTGTGAACGACTGGAGAATGCCCTCCCCACGACAAAAGTCCCGCAGGAGGGTGGAGGAGAACTCACCACCTCTGTCAGAGTGCAGACGCAGGACAGGAAGGTCTTGGCCGAACTGCTCGCGGAGCTGGAGACGGACTGTGCGGATCCAAGGGATCAAGACATCAACGACCTGACCCTTGCTGCGCAAGGGGAAGACCATGGTGTACCACGTGAAGTCGTCAACAACCAGCAGAAAGTAGCGCTCGCGGCTCTGTCCACTGACGCGGGCTGGGCCCCACACGTCCATGTGGAGAGTCTGCAGGGGAGCAGACGTCGGGGGAAACGAGGAGGGGTGAGGAGCGGGGAGGCGAGGGAGGCAGGGAAGGCAGAGACGTGGGTAGACCAGAGACCAGAAGATGAGAGTGCATGCCACGAAGGCGTGGCAGGGAGGGGTGACCCAGGCGGTGGTGCCACAGAAGAGTCTGGTGCAACAGGAGGCGACACGAGCAAGAGGCGGCTACCTGACCTGACGCAGACACCTGAGCTGACGCAGCTACCTGAGAAGGCTCGGTAGCGAGTGTGTAGAGACTCGACCCTGGCCGACGAGTGAACGTGGCCAGGTGACGCCCCGTCCGTGTGCACGTGCAAATCGACACACGCTGACCCCTAGGAGTGGTGGTAGTGACCATTGTCAAACTTATATATGCTATAGTCTGTTTAGGCTGTAGTGGGGTAGTTCTTACAGGGTACAACACTTTTGTGTTTCCTACTTGTACCCATCTCCTTTCTAGTTTCATCATTATTCTCGTCAATTCTCACAACCATCGCATCCTGGAGGGCAGCGGTACTCGCCAAGTTCGTAAAGAACAAGGGGAGGTGAAGGCCTGACAGTGAACCGGATGGAACCGCCGGACACGGGAGGACAGTGGAGGAGCGGGCCACTACCGGTCCCCCGGAGGGGTCAGCCACTCTGACAGGGACAGGTGAAGGGAGAGGAGTGAGTGTGGTGCTGTCACGAAAGAAACAGCGCGAGGCGCCTGAGTCCAACGTGAAGGTGTGCAAGGCCTCAGCAGGCGGAGTACCAGGGAGAGTACCAGACGCACTAGCACCTAGAGCAGCAGCGGCTATTCCTAGGTCAGGCGGCACACTCCGGTAACAGTCACCCTCAGCACTAACAGACAAAGCATACATAGCAGAAAGAATAGCATCAAAGTCTAGGTCAAAGATAGCAATCCTAGACCTAAGCAGATCTGCCCAGCGAGGGAGCTCGACGTCGTCACCAAACTCAGCACGCCAAGCGACGTCGAGATGGGAGAAGCAGTGGTGCTGGGTGTGGGACCGCCCGCAAGTCTGACCAGCACGATCACCCGTGCGAATGACATACGAGCAACTACCCCCAAACGCCCCACGCAGAAACCACTCACGAAGCTGCTGGGGCAACGGGGTCTCGCTCCGACGCTGCTGCTGCTGACGCTGGCCACCTCCAGAACCAACACGCCGAGCTCCAGTCCCACCGCCACCAGTCCCACTGCCGCCACCGCCACCGCTCCCACCGCTGCCTCCACCGCCGCCACCAGAGCCCCCACTCCCTCCACCTGTCCCACCTCCGCCAACACCTCCACTGCTGCCCTCACCACTACTCCCGCTGCCACCTCCACCACCGCCGCTGCCACCTCCACCACCCTTGCCACCCTTGCCCTTGCCGCTGTGGCGCTTCGCACTAGCAGAAGCAGCCCCGACGTCCTCAGCAACAGAGACGTCTGCAGCAACAGCAAAGGTGTAGGAGGGGGCAAGGGGGGAGGGGGAGCACCCCTCAAAGAAGGGCGGGCGCGGAGTGCCACGAGCAGCACCTACAGCAACTGCACTAGTCTCAGCTGCGAGGAGATGCTGCTCGAGGAGGTCAACAGTGAGAGAGGTGGGGTCAAGAGAGAGGAAGTGGTCCCTGACAGAGCGAAGAGAGTCAGGGAGGCGAGTGACTATGAAGTAGAGGGTGATGAACATTGGGGGCTGGTTCTTGTCAAGGAACTTAGCAGGTACGGCGGCACGGTAGCGAGCGTCGCTAGCGCGAAGGTGGGAAACTAGGTCCTCGACTGTGGCAAAGGAGGACAGGTCGGGGAACAGGTAGGGTAGAAGCAGGCGGCCTAGAGCAGCAGTGGCAGGGGAGGAGTAGCGAGCGACTACAGCGTCGTACAGCGCCTGGGCGGTCTTGTGCTGTCCAAAGTGAGCGCATTCGGCTAACGGCAGGTGGTTGCGAATGGCTAAGCGGGCAGCAGCGTCGCGAGAAAGCCACTGTGAGCGAGTCGCACCGTCAGCTGTGGTGGGAGGGGCAGTAGTGGCACCGAACACGTGGTCAAACAGGAAAACACCGTCCTTAATATTGCTCGGGAGGTACAGCTGCAGGTCGTCGATCCACGTGTCAAACTGAACCAGTCTACCCTCAGGATCGAATGCGAGAACCCGAAGCGAGGCCATAGCTGTGAAGTGGGTAGGAGCAGCAGAAGTAGTAGTAGCAGCAGCAGTAGTGGCTGTAGAAGTAGCAGCAGTAGCGACAGTAAGGAGAAGGGGGGGGGGGGGGGGGCGAGGGGCCCGGGGCCTAGGGACCAACAGGGCCGGGCGCGCGGGCTAGGGGTCAACGGGGCCGGGCGCGGGGCTAGGGGTCGACGGGGGCCGAGGCGCGGGCTAGGGTCGATGGGGGCCGGGGCGCGGGCTAGGGGTCGACGGGGGGCCGGGCGCGGGCTAAGGTCAACGGGGGCCGGGGCGCGGGCTATGGGTCGACGGGGGGCCGGGGCGCGGGCTAGGGTCGACGTGGGGCCGAGCGCTGGCTAGGGGTCGACGGGGGGCCGGGCGCGGGCTAGGGTCGACGGTGGCCGGGGCGTAGGCTAGGGTCGACGGGGGCCGGGGCGCGGGCCGGGGCGCGGGCTAGGGTCGACGGGGGCCGGGGCGCGGGCTAGGGTCGACGGGGGCCGGGGCGCGGGCTAGGGTCGACGTGGGGCCGAGCGCTGGCTAGGGGTCGACGGGGGGCCGGGCGCTGGCTAGGGTCGACGGGGGCCGGGGCGCGGGCTAGGGTCGACGGGGGCCGGGGCGCGGGCTAGGGTCGACGGGGACCGGGGCGCGGGCTAGGGTCAACGGGTGGGGGGGGAGCTGGGGCCCGGGCTAGGGTCGATGGGGGCCGGGGCGCGGGCTAGGGTCGACGGGGGCCGGGGCGTGGGCTAGGGCCGACGGGGGCCGGGGCGCGGGCTAGGGTCAACGTGGGGCCGAGCGCTGGCTAGGGGTCGACGGGAGGCCGGGTGCGGTCTAGGGTCGACGGGGGCCGGGGCGCGGGCTAGGGTCGACGGGGGGCCGGGGCGCGGGCTAGGGTCGACGGGGGCCGGGGCGCGGGCTAGGGTCGACGGGGGCCAGGGCGCGGGCTAGGGTCGACGAGCCGGGCGCGGGCTAGGGTTCGACGGGGGGCCGGGGCGCGGGCTAGGGTCGACGGGGCCGTGGCGCGGGCTAGGGGTCGACGTGCCTAGGGGCGACGGGCCTAGGGGCGACACGAGGGTCGCGAGTAGCAGTTCAGTGGTGGTGGGCCCAAGAAAACCGGTCCTAGCGGAGGACCTGCTCCTAAACCATGTCAAGAGAATGAACGAAAATGAATGAACTAGCAAAGAGTTGGGAACAAGTACTAACCCTAATTGGGTTGTACCCCTTATGGGCTACCCCACTATAGCCTACACAATATAAGCTATACAATACTTTGACACTAGTAACACCAAGGAGAAGTGAGAATGGGTGGTTTGACTATAGCACAACAAGTACATTTAGCAAAACACAAAGAGAGAAAGGTGGTACACCACCACCTACAAGAGGTACAAATACTACAGCAAGCAGGTTACACATCAATAGCTTTGACATGGCAAATATGAAATTCTATTTGTTTTACACCAAACTGTAGATCTCGCTCAGTCGATTGTAATCGATCAAGTGAAATGAGAGTGGGAAACTGGAATTGTACTCCGTTTCCCTGCTAAGGTGAAATTCGTTTCCGTGATTCGACATTTTTTCAAATAAAATATCAACATGATTATTAAGGGGGTGCTGTTAAGAAAGAGGGGAATAATGAACTAAGAAAGTGTGTGATACAAATATGAAACCTGTACCCCTTAGTGTCTACCCCACTACAGCCTACATAGGCTAGGTCATATATATCTGACACACCCCCATAGGCAAAGTGGAGGAGAACTAGGGGTCACAAGACCAGTCAAGCAAAGCAAAGCAAAGCAAGCTCAGGGTGGATCACAACGTCACCACACATTCCGAGCACAGGTTCAAAGGCCACAAGGCCAGTTCACATGCAGGATTATATATAAAAGGTAAACAAGCAGGTGCAGGTATATATAGATCACAGTACAAGTAAAGTCAAGAGGTAAGCAAGTGAGGCCAAGTAGGCACGAGACCTAGCATAGTACAGAAACGCTGATGATCACAAGGCTGAAGTGCCTTGGTGAAAATATCAGCAGTGTTGGCCTGAGAGGCCACGTAAGCAAGGCGCAGCTGACCACGTTGCTGCAGCTCACAAGCAAGGAAGTAGCGAAGAGCAATGTGCTTCGTTCTGTGCTCCAGTCTGTGCTCCCGACACAAGGCCAGCATGGCCTTGTTGTCTACGTACAGAACTGGAGGAGAACGAGGCTGCTCTCCCAGGTTAGTCAGCAGGTAGGAGAGCCAGCGTAACTCCTGTGCAGCCCTGGCCCCTGCATAGATCTCAGCTTCACAGCTGGAGCTGAGAACAGAAGACGAGCGGGTAGACCGCCACGAAACAGAGCCGGAACCGAGGCTGAAGGTGTAACCCTGTGACGACCGCTGCGTAGCCAGGTCGTCAACCCAAGACGCGTCTGCGTGACCAGTGAGGACCACTGGACTCCGCCCTCCAAGCACGAGCCCCATGTCTGACGTACTGCACAAGTAGCGCAACACCCTCTTCGCTGCAGCCATGTGCTCTGGTCGGTGTCTCCCAGGAGCAACATAGCGTGCCAAGATGCTAAGAGGGTATGCCAGGTCAGGTCGAGTGCAGGTCATCAGGTACATGAGGCAGCCAACAAGCTCTGGGTATGGGCCACTCGGCTCTACGGACTCATCCGAAGGCAGAGCTGAGAGCGAGTGGCGAGTAGACAGAGGAGTGGCCTGAGGCGAGGAGTACGTGAAGTCGAAGCGCTGAAGGACCTGCTGCACCATGTGTGACTGAGTCAGGGTAATGGTGCGCCGTGCTCTGTCCCGGGTGATCTGCAAGCCAAGATAGCTGCGCAGTTTACCCAGGTCTGTGCACGTGTGTCTCTTCTGTAGCTCGGACTTCACGTGGGCGAGTCCAGCAGTGTCAGCAGTAGCAAAGACCAAGTCGTCGACGTACACGAGGATGTAGAACGGCGGCTCCAAAGTGTCGGTGCGCACAAACAGCGACGGGTCAGCAGTAGAAGGAGCAAACCCAAGAGCCGCAAGCGTAGTCCTCAGTGTGTCGTGCCACTCACGGGGCGCCTGGCGGAGACCGTAGACTGGCCGCCGGAGGCTCCACTGGGTACCAGGAGGAAACGACCCAGTGAAGCC